TTCCGGCCTATTTCCTTGGCTCTTTGCCTCTGCAAGGTCATGGAACGTATGATTAATAATAGACTGAACTGGTGGTTGGAGACCGAGGATAAACTCCCGAACTCGCAATTCGGCTTCCGGAGGAATAGGTCATGTATGGACAACCTGTCTATTCTTTATACGGATATTTTGGGCGGCTTCCAGAATGACTCAGCAGTGTCGGCTGTGTTTCTTGACATCCGTGCGGCATATGATAATGTTTTAGCCGACGTTTTGATACAGAAGCTAGTAAAAATGGGTGTTCCACCCAAAACTTGCAGTTTTGTGTATAATCTGGTTTCCGCTCTTCAGGTGTTCTATCGATATGATGAGATGGAGGAGGTCTTCTGACTTTACAAGGGCCTTCCTCAGGGCAGTGTCCTGAGTCCTCTACTCTACTCTATTTACGTTGCGGAGCTGGACTCTGTCAACTCACGGGAATGCAAGTTAGTGCAATATGCGGATGATGTTTGTATCTTCTCGTCGATTACTCCCCTCGAGGAAGGATTAAGTGCGATTGAAAGGGCTACAGTGAAATCAATAACAATACTCGACGGTCTCGGTCTGGATTTATCGGTTGAGAAGACTAAGCTATGTGTCTTTAGCCGCAATGATAGCAGTTTAAAAATTCCCGTTAGACAGGGGAACAGAATTATCAGAGGCGAGTATGTTCTATTAGAATTCAAGATACTGAGATAGTTAATTCGTCTCGAGTTAAGTTTCTGGGCATTAACTTCCAATCTAATTTGAGTTGGACGGCGCATATAGACTACACGAGGCTTCGTTGTATATGTCCTCTCCGAATAATCAAATGCGTGGGCCACACATGGTGGGGAGCCGACCCGCCGATCCTCATGATGGTATATCGAGCCCTGGTTAGATCTAAACTGGAGTACGGAGAGTTTCTGTTTCAGAACCTTTCGGAGAAGATGTCTACGCAACTTGATAAAATTCAGTTTCGCTCGCTACGTGCGGTAATGGGTTACAGGCGGTCCACCCCCTTAAACGTGGTCCTATACGAGTCAAGAGAACCTCCACTGTTTATTAGATATAAGTACCTCTGTAAGAATTTTTGACTCGAATGGCAACAAGTGATAGACATCAACTCATGCAAACTTTGGAGGAGCTTGGCGAATCCGTCGATGCTCCTACTACAGTAGACCGAATTAGTCATTTCCCTATTATGTACTCTTTTGCAGACGTAGTGAGGAGGAGACATCTCCTTCCATCCAATGGACCACCGTTATGCTTCTCGGTTACTTACGGGGCCCTGTTCTATTGCCCAGATGTAAATTTAGATGATGGCTGTAAGGGAAACGCAGCAAGGATGCCGATTCCAAGTTTCAGAGGATTTTTCGGGACGAACTTAAGTCGGCCATGTGTGTGTATACTGATGGCTCTCGCACGGACGGCTGTCTATTTGCAGGTTTTGCGATTACCGCGCATGACGAATCCATATCGTGTAAGTTTAGAACCGTTGGGTTTGTGTCGTCCTTCTGCGTCGAAGCGATGGCTGTTCTCGTTGCCTTAGAATTGGCAGAGTCTCAGGAATGGCCCAAACTCGTGATTTTTTCGGACTCTAAATCTGTATTGAGCGCGGTTAGAGCCTCATACGTGCATAGTCATAGCTCATATCTCGTTTTAAAAATTAAAGCATCTATCTATCAGCTTGTAAATGAGAGAGGAACCGAGGTAAAACTTGTTTGGATTCCTAGCCACACCGGTATAAGGGGTAATGAGCGAGCGGATGTTTTGGTAAGTAAAGCAGTGCGCGACGGCAGGGACACTCAGTTCGGTATTCCAACGTCGGATTTTACCAACCTGTGAAGTGCGAGTATGTATGATGACCTGTGGAATTGGTCCAAAAAAGAAGCTGCCACGCAAGGAGCTCTCTATTGTGATAATTATCTAGTTAAGACTAAACAGGTCTGGTTCAAAAAGTTTGACATTAAAAGGAGGACGGTAATTACGATAAACAGAATCCGATCGGGACATACGTCCCTGAGGGCGAGCCTCTTTCGGCACCGCATTGTCGACTCTCCGTTGTGCTTGAGCTGTGGTCTGGAGGAATCTCCTAACCATGTCTTTTGGGAATGTACAGATTATAGTGAACAGCGTAATGAGCCTCGAAGAGGCTCTTGTCAGGGAGCGAGGGTTTCTTCCTCACCCCGTCGAATATCTTGAAACCGACATCAGAGCCTGAGCCGGTTTCGGCTGATGTCGGCAGTCGCCGTCAAGTTCCTCCGGACGTCGCGGAGCAGGCGCTGAAAATAGTCCACCAATGGATGGGAGAGCAAGAGAGGCGCCGGAGCGGAGATTGGGTGGTTCCGGAAATGGCGGCCGAGGAAGAGGTCGAACCGGAGAGCCCCAGGTTCGAGCC